GGAATTTTGATACTCTATAACTCCCTCTTTGAGCACATTTTTATCCTCAATGTTGAAAGCCTTTCTTTTTATCTTACACTGAAATGGATTGAAAAACCTCTCTGAACATGTACAGTGACTAATATCCTTTAAAAAACTGTACAACACACAGTAATTCATAAGTTGAGTGAGATCTTCTTTCTTGCTTCTTTCAAGTCTTACTTTTCTTAACTCAGTTAACCTTTTAACTCCTATAAGTGATTAAGATTAAACTTCTCCCTATAATATCCTTACACTATCCAGAAAACAGGTAATGAGAATTCTCAAACTCATCAGGTAAAAGTTGTTATCTTGATCTTACACCAAATTATCATAGCAAATTTAAATTAGAATTAATGGAATTTATAGCAGTGAAAGAGAAGAATCCAAAATAAGAACTTGGGAGTAAAGGGTGAAAATATTTTCTTCAGGAACACTCATTGTATAATTTGTTGTATTGCAGAGCTTTTATTACAGCCTTAGCAAATGGAAACACAATCCGAGTATTCAAAGTAAACAAAAAGAAAGATGGTTCTGGAGCTTCTGTCACTGGTGAATTTGATTTTCCTGTCAAACATTCAGCAGAGATTATCAATATTGCTGTGGCCTCCAATGGCAAGTTCATCATGTCCTGTTCTAGAGACACTACAATAATCATCTGGAATTTAAAGGGTAAGGCTCATTCCAGCTTTGTGATAGTCTGACAAAACTTGATGTTAACCCCCTCCTCCCTTCAAAATCCCATTTTAGCTCTTACTCTTGTGGTGTTAGAGTGTCAAAAGATGAATCAAGACAAGTTTGCACAAGTTTTTAGTATTCTCTTCCATATTCTTACATTCTCGTTTATAGTAATAATATAAAGTCACTCCTCTTATTTTGTCTAAAACTTGTTTAGGTGAAGTGCTGTCAATAATTGACACCCGTCAGATGAACAACAGCTATGCAAGCTTATCTCCCTGTGGAAAATTTGTTGCATCAGCAGGTATATTAGAGTATTATATCTTTAATTTGTTATGTGCGTTATGATTGACCAATTAAGTGGTCTGTTTTTAAAATAGGCCTGCTAAATTCAAAACATTGTTTCAATTGAAATATTCTCCCCCAATTTGAACCCAGAGATATGAAGAAAATTAAGTGAGAATAGTGACCATCATGCTTTGCAGTCATCTATGAGTAGATCTCATTAACTTTTCATTGTTTTTACTCAGGTTTCACCCCCGATGTGAAACTGTGGGTTGTGGAGTTCACCAAGACAGATGAATTCAAGCAGGTTTCAAGAGCAATGGAGTTGAAAGGTCACTCTGCTGGTGTCTTTCATTTTAGTTTTTCAGCAGATTCTACAAGGTGAGAGCTGATTCATTGTCACTGAATAACTGTTTTCATTCCAAAGGCCTTGATGGAGAGTCATCTGTAAAAATTTTAAACAGGTTCACTATTTTTTTCTTTCTAGGATGGCAACTGTATCAAAGGATGGAACCTGGAAAATATGGGACATCGATGGTGAGTTTATCTGACACTACAATTTTTAGGCAGAGTTGTCCCTTGTATTGGTTATACAGGTTTGTGCCACCCCAAAAAGCACGGTTTCTGAGCGGTTTTTGGATAGGTTCTGAATTAATATTAGGTACGGTTTCCAAGAAATCACAGTAGAGTATGTTTATTCTACTTGTCTTCTCGTCTGCAAATCAGGATTAGAAAACGAGGTGAATTTTACCAATATTTAACGTTTGAACAGATGCCGAGTCTCAATAAAGTGTGAAAAAAATGGTATCTTTTGGACTGAAATAGGGTCAAGATTTGGAAAATTGGGTAGCTCTTGGCTATCAAGTATTCCAAGAAGTACCTCCCCTCTCCCTAAGCCATTAAGCTCTTTCCTCCATTCCAGAAAACTTTTGTAGAAAAAGACCCAAGTGTTGGTCTGTTGGAAGTCTTTCTGATTGATTAGTAAGGAAGTCATGTTGTACAGATGAGGCTCTTAAACATCCTCTTTTGGTTTATTATCCAGTGGAGTTCACGAAGAAACAAGACCCACATTTACTAATGACAGGAATATATGACGCCTCATTTGGAGTCTACAATAACATGCTGATAAGTATGTCCCCAGATGCGTATGTCACGGCTGTTGCTATGGGACGATCTATTGGAATTTTCAACACAGAGAATGGAAACCTGGAGGAGCTGTTAGAGGAAGTACATGGAGGTATCGGAGAAATTTTTTAACTGAGTGTCAAAAGTAATCTGTTATTGCTTTGGTTCTGCTTTACTTCGCTTTGTGATTGGTGGAGAGAACTTGCGCCACTTCCTCAACCAATCAAATACAAAACTAAAACCAATCGCACTCATCCAATTTTTCCTAAATCTTTTTTTCTTCGTAAATTCTCCGATAAACGTTGTACTACAAGTCGGCTAGAAGATTATATGTTAGTTATTTAGATTTGAATTTAAAAAATTGAACCTTTCCTAGTAAAAAAAATTCAACCCTTTCACCAAACTCGCATTTATCAACTCAACTTACTTTATAAATTCAGTTGATGAAACCAAAATTATCCCACATTTGCATTAGCCTGTAAGCAGGCTCTCATAAGCGCTTGCGCGAGAACCTCATGGGCTTAGCGAGTCGAGCGCGACTTTCGCGGGCTTTGCGAGCAGTATCGAGAGGCCTGTGCAGGAGGCCAGGCGACATTTTCACTATTACGTGTCGGATTGGCATTATGATTGAGTCACCTTATTTTTTGATGTCAATTTGTAGATGACATCACAGCCATTGCGTGGCACCCCAGTTCTCGCTACTTGGCTACCGCGGGCGGAGCAGACCGTCAGATCAGAGTGTGGCATAATGCGGCTGGTATCAGGATTCAGATTGATGACTTACAGGGGAGAATGTACCGTGCTAAGAATGAAAACGTTAAGGTAAGTTAACGTTGTTAGATGGCGGCACATTGCACGTGTTCAGTTCCTGAATGCGGCGACTCGACCCATTCCTCCATCTCCTTTTTTCACTCTGCGCTTTAAAGTTTTCGCTGCTTCACAAACACCGCGCTGCGCTCATGAACTGAACATCTGTCGCGGGTTACATTCGTTGTAGCTTGTTACGATACTTCCTATCACAAGATCTTTTGCGTGAGAAGATATAACGTGTGAGATGTTACAGTGACAGTGTTGTGTTTAATCAGCTTTTTTCAGTCAATTTGACAATTTTTATGTATTTTTCTTTACACAGGAGAGATTAGAACAGCAAATTCTTGAAGCAAGGTAAACTGCCTCTTTATTCTTTCTTCGCCATGTCTAATCAAATAATATTAAGCGGATAGAGTTATTCACGTGAGTCTACAGGAGTAATTCTCATTCATAAAACTTTGGAAGGTCACTTGGAGTACATTTCGATTAGTGTCTTAACCTAAAAACCGAAGTTATTTCAACGACCAATCAGAACATAGGGAAATATCACGAGGAGTCAATGGGAACCCAGGAACAATGCGATTTAAGGTGGAATAATATCCGCTTGATTGAGAAAGGAGCTTGAGTTCTTTTTACCAATCGTTAAGCAAAGCCAGGAAAATGAATGTGGCTTACTGCTGGTTACTTCTAACGCTGAATTAAAAGTTTTCTATTGTTTTCGATTCGAATTATTGTCAATCACTTCTTTTTTTTTCTTTCCTGTAAACAGGGCTTCTCTAGACAAACTGAACCTTATCGGCTAAGAAGAGAATAAACCAAATCATTTTACAAAGGTCACAGTGGAAGAAATGTCAAGGCAGAAAGAAATATTTTAAATTCTCAACAAACTCAACAAAATAACGCTTTGTGGTGGTCCTGCAAACCACGGCAAAAACAGCGAACTGTGAGGAAAACAGCATTGACTACAATCAAAGATGAAGTTTACCGAACAAAAAACGAAATTTAAGTATTTATAGTACTTTTTTGATTTTTTTTGTATACTAAGTCGGATAAAATCTTATTTGGCTTTCATGAATCTTTCAATTGTCTTGATGTGTTACTTATCAAATGCTTTTCATTATTAACGCTGTATTTCAACTCAATGACTTTTTAGACCAATAAAATTATTTCCACAATTATACTTCCGTTTGAGGTATGGTTTAGTGATATTGGGCTGGAAACTTACGAGTGGGAGAAGATTGAGGAAATTACATGTAAGGTTCCGAGGTTCGATCTCTATGGGTACTTAGGTTAGTCTTTATCCCACGCTCGCGAAGAAAGGATTAACACGTTTTCGTATTAAAGTTTTTAACATAGTATTTAAGTTCAGCGTATTATGCAATAAGAAGAACCGCATTGTTAATGTTAAAAATTGTCCTGAAGTATAGGAGTTAATTGTTCTGTTGGATTTGTAAAGTTTATAAATATTTTACCTTTATTCATACCTCTCACAAACAAAAAAAAAAGAAAGAAAAAAAGAAAAGAAAATAAGCAAAATTGAAGAAATGTAAAATGGTTTCCGTGTTTACATCGCCTTATGTAAACACGCGGGAGGTTGGGAGAACACGAGATAAGCGTAGGAAACCACGTCGCGAAGCGGAGTGGTTTCCAGCTTATCTCGGCGATGTAAACACGGAAACCATTTTACATTTCTTTTATAAAATAACTAATGAAAGAGGAACGAAAACCGTGTTTACATACGCTCATGTAAAATGGTTTTATGGCCAATCAGAGCGCGCGTACTATTTGAATTATTTTATAAAAAGACTTTCTTAACTGACTCACAGCCTGGGTATGTTCTAAGTGTGTTCTCGAAATTTTGGTTAAAAAAAGCTGATAGATGAAGAAAGAAAAGAGTGGAGTCGTACCATGTGACACAACAAGGAGTTCCTGACACAAACCAATCAAAAGAGCCTATTGCGAAGTAGTGTGTGAATTATCACCCTCGTCCTTACTATTCTATGAACCTCTAAACGTCGAGAAAGTAGGAATCGGACACTCATCATAAATCTTTGTATACTTACAGTTTGCCTATCACACTAAAAACGATCCAACGAAGGGGGCGTGTAGGAGGCGTCTCCAGCTCACCATCCTCCTCACCCTACCCCTGTAAGAAGGCCACGCTTCGTCTCTGAACTCCGTTCTTTGCCGATCGACTTATCTCAGTTGACGAGTTTTTACGAATCACCACGGGTTCCTTCGTGCACGTGTTGTCACGATCTGTCGGCGGGAAGGTGAGAGGGATACTCCATCGAGGTAAATGCAATCAATATCTGTTATTTAACAACGCTTTTGCTTTCTTCTTTGCCTTTGAGAAATAGCTACTTACGTAATGGCGACTCATAGCCGCGTTTTTTTTTTCCAATGACCCTTAAAAAATGGTGAACCATTCCTAATGAACCAAGTGGAATGTCATCCGATAGTTCTCCATGAACCGATTTCCCTGATCATCGATAGAGAAATTTCCCTTTCTGTTTCCTCATTGAGGAAACGGAAATAAATCGTTAAAGCACTTCTAATTCTTAGTTTGATATAGCTTTAAACTACCACCTCAAATGTTCCCTAATTTTCGACCGAAAACAAAGTTAGCTGCATGGTTGATATCATACAATTCTGGGTCGATGTTTACTCTCCGATTCATGGAGATGCTTGGGTTCCTTATTCTTTTTTATTCTACTGAAAATTCAAACATGTGTCTTGAATAAAATTAGGATGAAAGCCACATGTTATGATCGTCAGACAGGTTTGGACCTATCACCCAGTTTCCCTCGATAATGTCTCCCAAATCCCCCCTACTCTCCACTTGTTAAATGATTGAATCATAGTTGGAGCAGTGAAAAGAGATGCTTGGAAAATACCCAAAATTTTGTTTGGTGTAGAACTTATTAATTTTTCTGCAAATGATTACCAGTAATAATGATGGTAATTTTTTATTTTTCAGGAAATTGTGTGGGTTTCAGTTGGTTAGCAGTCATGGCTGAGTTAGAACTGAAAAATGACCTTCCAGAAGCCAAAAAACCCTTAATTTCACCTAAGATAGGTACACACAATGGAACCTTTCACTGCGATGAAGCCCTTGCTTGCTTTATGCTGAAACAGCTTCCAGAGTATAGACATGCTGACATTGTACGGACAAGAAATCCGGAAGAGCTGGCAAAGTGTGATGTTGTGGTAGATGTTGGGGGTGTTTATGATCCAGAGAAACATCGATATGACCATCATCAAAGGTGTGTTAACTAGCTGTCCTGAAAGACAAAGAAATGGGTATAATTTTTTCTATTTTCTTGGATGAATTTCACTCTGCTGCTCTGAGCAGTGTGTTAGTGGTAAATTTTTTTATGACATTCTGGACATTTGTTCCTGAGCTTTAATCAATGGAAAAAAAACTTGGGATGCTCAAATAGAAATAATGAGTAAATAAATGCAAGTTTATAAAAGCGACTAAAATATCTCCACACAGGATAATTGATTAATGTTTATCCACAACCTCTTTTCTTTTTTCTTTTTTACCTGATAGGAGCTTTACAGATTGTATGAACACCCTTCGTCCAAGTAAGCCATGGGTGACCAAACTTAGCAGTGCTGGGCTGGTTTATCTTCATTTTGGACATCGGGTGGTCTCACAAGTGTTGAAGACTAAAGAAAATGATGCTGTGACCAATGAGATCTATGACAAAATCTACGAAAAGTTCATTCAGGAAATTGATGCTATTGACAATGGGATCAGTCAAAGTGATGATGAACCACGGTATATGAAAACATTGGAGACAGTATTTAATCCCTTAATCCTTAAGAGAGACCAACATCTAATTTCTCCCCACAATACCACCCCTAAATCAAAATTTAAGGACACAAGAATAAAGGAAATGATCATGAACTAAAGAATCTCTTGATTGTTGGACAAATTCTCTTTGTCAGCTCTTAAGGAAGTAAAAGAGAACAGTATGGAGAATATGCATACTGATGTTTGGGTGAAAAGGGTCACCAGTAACATGAAATACTTACTTTAGATACATTATCCTTTGATAATGCAGCAGGGCTGTTCTTGAATACCTTGATTCGACAATTAGGACCTAAGGGAGGGAGGGGTAGGTGTGACTTAAAAAACTTGACAAGTAGTATATGTCAGTTGTGAATAAGCATTCATAACTGACTTATGCTTCTTGAGAAAGCCAAAAAATTTGACCAATCAGTTTTTACAAACCAGACTAAAAACACTTGAATGACAAACAGTTCCTCAGTTAACTCAGATGTTGACTTCTGTTCAGTTTGGTAAAGCAACAGAGTGACCTTTTTTTTATACAACCAAATTATTTTTGATAATTTTATTGTTTTTAATGTATAGTTTTCTTAATAACACAGTTATTGCATCACAACAAACCTGAGCTCTCGTGTATCACATCTTAATCCATCCTGGAATGATCCAAATCCAAATGCTGAGGTTGGTGTTCCACTATGTCAAAATGTGATTTTCAGATTATGGTCTTACTTGTTGTTCATATCAAAAGCCTTTCAACTTGTTTCTTTTCTTCTATAGCTACAATTTCAAAAGGCTGTGAATTTAGTTGGAGAGGAGCTGTTAAATAGAATTTGTTACTACAGGGATGCATGGCTTCCTGCAAGGAGTTTGGTTGAAGCAGCAATAATGAAAAGAAAAGAGGTTAGCTTTTGGTGAAATTCCACTCCACTTGGAAGATTGGTGACTTTGAAAGCATAAATTTAAATTTTGTTCACAGGCTCTTTCAGCTTGCTCATGCCCTATGAAAAATTCTCATCAAAGCAGTCAGTAAATTAGTCTACTGGATGATCAAAATATAATATTTCTCCTATATCCAATACAACATTAAGCAGACAAATGATTGGAATTAAGAAAAATTTAATTAGCGAATTAATAGCTGATCCAAAACCAAATTTTCTTAACTAACATCATAAGAATTGTTTGGCACACAGTAAGGAGAAAAACTACTGCGATCTTGAGAGTGAAGGATTCAAAAGTGGATATCTTAACCTGGAGTGCCCCTAATTGGGAGAAAAAGATGAAACTGTCACAGTACTGAAAAATTAAAAAAAATCAGTGATTTGAAATTTCTTTGCAAGGTTGATCCAAGTGGAGAGATCATTGAGCTTCAGGAAAGGGGTTGTCCATGGAAGGAACACTTGTTTGAATTAGAGAAGGACTTAAACATTGATGTACCAATAAAATTTGCCATATACACAGACCAAAACAACAACTGGAGGGTGCAGGTGAGTTCCATGTTTATGGACCAATGATCCCCTTCTCTCCTCAAATCATGTATAATCCACAAAATGACAATTATTGCTCATGGGAGAAAGAAAAGCTTGGCAAACCACTTGTCAAGTAAGCTACAGCCGAACTTGTGTTAAGCAGTCACTTAATACAGGACGGGGTGACCACTTCATACATGATGACCACTTAATACAAGATGACCGACACCATATGGGTGTCACAAAATACAATTAAAAAAATGCCATTTTATGCCATAATTGAGCACTAAATGTAGAAAAACTTGCTCAAAAATACTACCAATATTGATTTTGGGAGATTAAATTGGATTAAAGTTTGCTTGAAGGTGTGCTCTTAGTTTTATTTGAGTGGCAACACTGCTAGTGACTGTTCAATACAGGTTGAGGGCAAAGTTGGGACTCAATAAAGGGTGACCACAATGGCTCAACTCTTTAACCCCTAAGAGTGACTGGCATCTAATTTCTCCTAACCATATCACTCCTGAATCAAACATTAAGGTTAGGAGAATAAAGGAGCTGATCACTGACTAAGGAAGCTCTTGATCATTGGGCAAATTCTCCATGTTGGCATCTTAGGAAATGTTTAGAGGACAGTATGGAGAATGTGCATACTGATGTTAGGGTGTTAAGGGTTAATAAAGGTGACCACTTAATGGGTGAAAATGTAAGTGATTTTGGTGAAAAAATTTGGAACTTTGAAAACCAGCTGCTTAATGGTGCTTCCTAATCGGGTTCAATTGTACTTAGATATCTGGGCTATGGTTCACTCTTCTCCTCTACCCTGTTATTGAGGTTTTTAACAGTTATTAAATTTTATGTGAAGTTTTAGTATGCAAAATTGAATTTTCAATTTGTTCTCTCTTCAGTGTGTTTCCGTGCGTCCTGATTCCTTTGTTAACAGGTATATTATGAGTCAATTTTAAAATAAAAGAAATGTTTAAATGAATTATGATGGTCATGCTTATTACCAAGTCTCTTCAATCTGTTTCTTTTTCAGACTTAGCTTGTTAGAGGAGTGGCGTGGAGTAAGAGATGAACAGCTCAGTTCACTGAGTGGAATAAAAGGCTGCATATTTGTTCATGCCAGTGGTTTCATTGGAGGAAATGAGACAAGAGAAGGAGCTTTAGAAATGGCAAGAAAGACTCTACAGCACCGAGACAGTTTTGCAAATGGAAAGTGTTACTCTGATTCAGAATTAATGCAAGTTGAAAGCAAAGAAAATTAACTTCAGACTTCCAGAGTGCATTGTAAAAATTTGATGTCATCTGTGTAATACTGTGCCAATAGTGATGTATGTGGTGTTAAGAACATATCTTGCTGAGGAAAGTGTGAAAACAACCACTTAAAAAAAATATGTATTTGCTATGGAATTGTGTGTTTCACTTAAAGAGAAACTTCCATGAAGTTAGTCTGTGTGGCAGTTTTTATTTAAAGAAAAAACTTTCTTATCAACCTACTTCACATAAAATGTGTATGTGAATTCATTTTCTTTATTTAGAAAAAAAAAAAGACTTAGAAAAATTTAAACTTACCCTTTTCCGCCCTAAGAGTGATAAATATCTAATTTCTCCCAACAGTATCACCCATGAATCAAACATTAAGATAGAGAGATTAAAGGAAATGACTGCAAACTACACTTAGCTCTTGATCATTATACAAATTCTCTTTGTAACTACCACAGGAAATGTATAGATAACAGTATGGAGAACTTGCTTACTGATGTTTGGTTGTAAAGAGTTAGAATGATATTTAAAAAGAGGAATAAGAAAAGCCTTTCTGTGGAACTTAAAACTAAGTAAGTAGTCAAGCGTTGGATGTTGTCCCTGAGTAGCATAGTGTTATAAAGTCAGACATGTAAATCAAGCGAGGTCAGCTATGCTATGATAATTTAGTTTTCTGAGCTTTCACCCATCTACGGCATCATCAGGGAATGTAGGTGGAGTCTTCGAAGATTCCATCTACATTCCAGCAAAAGCTCGGAAAACTAAATTATCATAGCATACCTGGCCTCACATGATTTACATGTCTGACTTTCTGAGAAATTAGTTTTTCAGTTGTTACAATATGGTTTGGAAGTATGTTCAAGGATAATGTTTACTTGGAAGTTTTGGTATCCAATAAAAAAAAAAAAACGTCTACATTATACTTTGATTTGAAACTTTTACATCTCAATTTTCTTGTAATAAGATCAACAACTTTGCCAATACAAATTGTGTAAAATCTTCTTCAGACATGAATGTAGCCTACATTACAAAGATTTTTAAAAAATGTGGGACATACAGGCTAAGCTAGCTATTGTGGAGAAAAATTTGTGTTTAAGTTATTTCTCAGTACCTGTCTAATTCATTCTATAATCAAGAAATTAGAACTCTCCTTCTAAAATACTAAGAGGCCATGGAATAATTTTGAATTTTTAAAATCTTTCATTTCTGATAACTCACAATCAATTTACTTCATGAATTGCACCATTTTTTAACTTTAAATTGCATCTTTTTCCCAGCTAATGAGGAGGCTACACTAATAACAAAACAACCAATCAGATTTCAAGGCTTGTTTAAAGTAACCAATCAAATTGCAGAAAAATGAAAGATAAAGGGTATCGAGGCAAATTTTGCAACTTTTGTTTCCAAAACTCTTACTTTTTCCCACCAAAAAACGGATCAATTTAATTTCACACCAGCTCAGTAGTGCATCATATATTTGAACTGACCAAGTCCTGTACTTGAGCAATTTCAAAATGGATGTATTTTGGTCTGAAATCATACTTGTGATTTCAAATCAAACTTGCACTGCACGCTTGTTCAATTTTGAAATCACACGTATGATTTCAGCCCAAATTGCACTTCACTCAGTTCAATTACCATTATTAAGCGCTAAAGTTCTTCACCTACTTGACAAAGATATAGAGGAGGGGGTCCATACTCTAGAGAAAACTATAATATGAGAAGTCTTATTTACCCTTTCACCTGCAGGAGTGACCAAAAATGAGATTCTCCTGATGTCATTGATAAAATTGCCAGCAAAGAGGTGGGAAGAAGACAAAAATATCAACTAGAGTATTACATTTGATTAAATACCACATTCTCAGAGCTCAAATTAAGAAACATATAGATGACTGTACAGAGAATTTATAATGAGATTTTCTGGGTGAAGGGGTTGAAGTAAATTGCAGAGAGTTCTCATAGCACTGCCATAAAATAATCAAAAGACATTTTTATTTTGAAACTTTAAAGTCTTGTGAAAGAAATACTCAATCTAAAAAAAGTCTGGGATATTTTAGAATACTTTCAGTCATAGCTCCACAGTAAGGGTCAGACACAGCATTCAAATTTCCTTCCAAACTCTTCAGCAGCAATTTTCTGTCATCACCAGGTTTAAAGTCTTTCATGGCCATGTAAATTGCTTTAAAGAATTGTTGCTTGTCATTGTGGTATACCCCTCTGTTACCATGAACTACTGAAATGCCTTTGTTGCTGGCTGGCCCACAATTGTTTCCATACATGCAGTGGTCTGGACGATAGTTCCAATCACATGTATATGTGTATAGTAACTCTGCGGAAAGAGAATTTCAAGGTTTTTATCAGCAAATGCAGTGGTGGGTGAATTGTGTAAATAAAGCAAGTGGAGAAACATCCTACCACCAAAATAGAAAGTGGCTCAAGCTCAACAACTTTTCATCTTGATCTAACACCAAATTTCTTGCAATTAATTTCCTTAGGAATGTGTAGCAACCAGAAGGGTGAATTAACTATCAGATCTTTGGAGTTGAAGGGTTATGTTATTAAGCACTGAAAAGTTCAAAGGTGTTTTAAAACTGAATGTTGATGGAGGTGGTAGATGATGAAAACAGTCATTATGGAGCTTTAAAGCATGAGTTTGCCTGCAACACTCTGTATTTGTTGGAAAAGTTATTAACCCATCAATCGACATCAGATTTTGTGTCTGCACTGTCTTATGATCATACTAACTTTGGACAACTGAACAAATTTGTTTTCAAAAACTTCATTATATTGAATAAATTAACTAAAACATAACTAAACTTTGACTTTAAACAAAGAAAGAAATTACGCCATAAAAACTATTTTTGCTAACCCTTTCAATACAAATATCTCATTCATTCAGTTATTTTAATTCATTACTGTCTACCAAAGAATTCTTAGGATATAGTTCTAAGAATTTGGTTTTGGATCAACAAATAATCCCCTAGTGCTATTTTTGTAAACCCTCATCACTTGTCTGCTCGATACCATGGAACCTCAGGGAATTGGTTCATTATATCAAGGATTTGTTATATCAAAAACCTCAATTTAACAAATTTGTGGAAAAATAACCAAATTGTTTGTTATATTGAGGGCTGGTTAATAATTATTATTTTTAATTATTGTTATTTTATTTTATTTTTTTTTTTGTGGTGTGACGTCACACTACCCAGCACTTTGGGATTGGAACAGTTAATGTACTTTAATGTCTATATGAAGCTACAGTACACTGTACAGGTCTGTTCATAGCTACAGCACCTTGTTTTAAAGCAAGGAGGACAAATTTCAGTGGAAGTGACACTGGCAAACAGAGAAACAATGACAGATTTTGATTCTTGTTGGTCTGGTCACATTTGAAAAGACACATGTTGACATTTGTTTGTTTACATTTGGGATATGTTATATGTTTGGGCTTCTGGATTGTGTTCATTGTAACAAGGATTTTGTTATATCGAGGTTCATTATACCAAGGTTCTTTCCTATACATTTTACTATAACTTTGGCCGGGCTGAAGAGCATCATTCATTACACTGAGGATTTTGTTATATAGAGGTTTGTTAAATCAAGGTTCCACTGTACTGTAGTGATATTGAAGGAGAAACATTGTTATGGTCAGGTATAGGAGTTAAAGGATTAAAACAGTCATGTAGTACCAATAAAATGAAGTATTTACCAGGGTGATCGTGGAAGACAATATTCAAGAGATCTTGGTCTCCCCATGTTATGCTGAGTTTGTACTTATGGTATGCTTCTAGAATCTTTTTAGTCCAGTCAAATTCCCGCATTCGTGTCAAGTTCATGAGCATTACTCCAGAGTTCATTCCATTTTTCCCATAAAAAGGATGACGAGCAAACCTTGGATACCAGGAGAGTGCTTTTTCTTCACCCTCTGGAGCCATTGAGGCAAGCTGTTTATCATCAAAATGGTTAAAATGGTCCCAAAGATTTTCCACTGGTCTGAGCATGAGAACATCAGTGTCTAAATACAGGACACTATCAACAGAATGCAAAACATCCTGGGGAAAGTAAAAAAGAAAAAAAACATGAAAATAGAGAAAAAGGCAGCATATCTTTCCTTGATGTGCGGAAATTTGTCAGAAATGTTATTCGGAATTTTGCATTCGCCTCAGTGAAGGAATCTATGAATTTTTGGTTTCATATCTTTTTTCCCCTAGGCTCAACTGTTTGACTTGAATAGGTATGAGAAAGCGAAGTGAGTGAGCTGCAGGGAAAATCTTTGCTTCAGCAATCTCACTTGCTACTCAAAATACAGAGGTTGCTAATAGGGTTGTTAAATATACTTACCAGAAGAAATAATCTTTGTGCTGCACATGGCTTGAAAAGTCGTTTCCACACCTCAGCATTTTCTCCAGGAGGAAAGTGTAAAGAGTAAAGTTTTAATAAGACTTGACTAGATTTAACAGAGGACCATTCCCTGAAAATGTTTTTTAGTTCAGCATGAAGGTTATCTTCTGCAACAACATGAAATTGTATAGTTCTATTTGTGAATAAAGTGGTTGACTTGAGCATTGTTGTTGCTTCCACAGACCGCTCTCCACAAATCACAGAACTTACGTGGATATTAGAAGAGAGTGAGGTAAATATTCTGTGGAGAAAATAAAAAATATTTAACCATTTAACTCCTATCGGTGACTAACATCTTATTTCTCCCTAACATATCACCCTTCAATCAAACATTACAGTCACGAGAATAAAGGAAATCATCACCTATTAAAGCTCTTGATTGTTAAACAAATTCTCCCTATCAGCTCTTAAGGAAATTTATAGAGAGCAGTATAAGGAGAATACGCATGCCGATGTTTAGGGAGTAAAGGGTTTAGAAAGCTTGCTGTCTGTAAGTTCTTGGCCAAACTGTATGCATACTTCTTAGTTTTAGATAAAAAAAAAAAACCTTGATGAAAAAGATTTACTTTTCTTTTTAAGCTGGAGTTCAGCGAAGAAGCGAACCAGATGACATCGAGTAAATTTAGTAAGCAGCATCCTATATTCACTGAACTGTACCAAATAAACAACTTAGCTTTACCCGACATCAAACCTGGCTCAACGCAAAAAAAAAACTTAGAGGAGTTTGGTTTGTGAAGTTAATTTTTTTTCTTAATTTCTAAAATCCCTCATTGTGATCTTTACCTTTTAGTCGGTTTATAGTTGATCTGTTCCCTTTCAGGTTCTGATTTTCTTTTCGATGGGACTGCTTCGTGGACTGTCGTGACATGATTATTAATACCATCGTAACTAATTGATGACTCTTCAGCGTTTGGTAAAATATCTGCATCGGTTTCCTTTACATAAGAAATTAACAAAACAAATTCCAAAAGTACTACGATAACTAAAGCTATGCCGAGTGCCACTGCTATCTTGGAGAGAAATTTAAATCCCATCTGAGGTTCATGGCGTGAAAAGACAACACCTGAGCGGAAGAAAAGCGGAAAGTAAACATCTGACTTGGTAGCCGTTTCTACTTTGTAACCACACCTTGGGCAAGTTTCGTTTACGCTTCACATGGAGTCGTGATGTTTCGGCCAGAACGAGTCGAATTTTGCCAAAATTAGCCATAAGGTAAGATCATTTTTCTCTTGAAATGCCACCAAATGTTAGTTTTCAGTCTCAATTTTTCTTTTATGAGCGTTTTTTCGTAAAAATAACGTAAAAGGTGAAAAAACTTGCGCGACTCATATGCAAAGAAGGCAACGTGTAGGCCTCATGAAAATGGCTTGGTTTTTCCCGCTTTAGGAAAGTGCTTCATGTTCGCTGTTTTATCTGCCTACATGTGAGTTAAGAGGCGATACTCAACCTATTGAACCCCCTATGTGAAAAGTGGTTGTGAAACACCGTGTTTTCTCTAAGTTATAGAGGCGTTATATAACGATTTGGGTTTTCAGTGAAGCTGGAAGCGCCAAATATGCAAAATTTCGTAACGTTTGCCATGGCTCGCCGAGGGCACGTGTGTTAGCGTGGGAATCGATTTCTAGGCCATCTGACGTCTTCGAAGCAACATATTCAGTTCGATTTACATCTTTCGATGTTCCGAAAAGAAAACGTTTTCGATTCGTATTTGTATCTACATCTGTACTTTAAAAAAACTTTTTAAGTGCTGCAATGGCTTCTAGTTAAACCTACGGTGTACTGCTGAGTAGCTAGATCACAAGACCTGTTATTTGCCGCTGTTTTCTAACAAACTAACACTCCTTTCCTTCTTAATTTCAAGTCAGAAAATGTACAGAGTGTATACCACCCTTGCATGGTCTTAAAATAGTAAAATGCCCTTAGTCTTTTCTTCAAGTAGTTCCACATGGGAATCAAGGGCGAGCTGCACTCCGCATAGTTTTGCAGTATTATTTGACCCCCTGTATCTCTCTGCAAAGTAGAGGAGGGTATGAGCTATGTTTAAATTACAGAAAAACATGGCTTCATAGTTTCAGAAACTTTTACCAGTTTAGCTGAATCATTTAGCTAGAAAGACAGTGACATTTGGAATATGAAGGTCCTCAATTAGACCTAAGATCATCTTTTGAGTTATTAACCTCACTAGAGATGTATAGTCACTTGGTACAGCCTTGTCTGCACTCTTCAAGTGGTTCTCTACTCTCAAACCAAAGGTTTGAAATTCTGATTTCATGTCAGCTCAGTTATGCTTACTGATCTATCCCTTACACCTGCCAGAAAAATTCAAATCATCATAGCTGTCTTTGACAATTTTTTTCTATGCTCCTTAATCACCATGAGCAAAGATAAGTCCATAAAAGTAATTCTAACTTTGCAAAATGTTCAGCTCTTGAAGCTAAGGGCTTGTGACACCAATTTTTGTAACAGCTTTAGAAATACAGCATATTTAAGAATTTTCAGATCTCTTTGGATGGAATAAGGTTCTCCAGGAAGAGTGCAAGAAATCTGAGAGGAAAATCCAACATGTTTGACTCAAAAAATAGTTAGGAGGTCTACATGCCTGTTTATATTTCATCTTAACTGTTATCTTTTTTTAGATCTTGTTCAGCCTATGAAGTACCTTCTCCAGCTGTGCACAGGTAATAGAGAAGTTCAAAAATAGTTTACTGTGGACCAAGTTAAAGATGCAGAAAGAAGGGCTGAATATAGAGACTGCAGATTACCTCACCTCGCTCCTCCAGAGGTATGATGCCACAGAGGGTGGACTCCCCCCACAAGCAATTCTTGCACCCATACCAGTACCTGTTCAGAGAGAAAATCCAGAACCACCATCTCCAAATGAGTTTCTTGTGCCAGCTGTGATACTTTGGGATCCTCTAAGCCAAGTCCCCAGCTTGAAAGAGCTAGCATGTCCACATGAAATCCATGATAGTGAAGTTTGTCCATTAAGAGCCCATACCAGCAACAAGAACAACTATGGGCGATGGAAGGCTTCTAGAGGAACTCAAGACATTCCAAGAGCCCTTTATTGCTGTGATGGTAACACACTTTTGGTGAGTCGCCTGTACACTTGCAAGAAAGGTCATAAGATCATCTCTCACGATCCACGCCTCATGGAGAACATCCCACCAACATTTCAAATCCCATTCTACCTGTTACACAGAACAGGTTTCACGCATGAGTTGGCCACTTGGGTGCATTCGTGTGTATTTGCTGGGATGTCATTTCATGAAATTGAGGAAGTTTTGACGCAGAGGCATCGTGATGCATATGAAGAGCGTAAATGCAAATATGATGCAGCAGTTAAGGCCTATCTTGAAAGTAATCCTGATGATCACCCTGAAATACGTACATTTCCAGAATTCAAGACTTCACAAGTGCCATCACTTGAGACCACCATGTCAAGCATTGTGCACATGTTTGAAGGTAATGAGCTATTCTATATACAGAGGATGAGCGAATGGCCAGCTAAACGCATCACTGCTGGCTACTACTTCAAGGTGGCCACAACAATTGGAGAAAAACTGGAAACAGCTGGCAAATGGATCACACACTTTAAAAACATGTATACTGTCATGAACGAGAAAGGTCAAATCATCGCATGGAAGTTTACCAAAGAGAAGGATCTGAGTGAAGTGAAAGACATCTTGATTGGATTGCAGCAACGTTTCCAGATGCAGGGCAGACAGCTGGAAATGATTCTTGTGCCAGAATGTTGTGAAACAAGAGACCAGTTTAGTGAAATATTTGGTGCAGATGTTCCTGTCAAATTGGAACTTTCTAAAGCTGTCCATCGAGTTGTCAGGAAAATCCCTGCAAAGAAAAGAGAAGAGCATCAACTGACTAAAGCTTGTGTTCGCGACTTTGCCCTGGCCTTACGTTATCCAACAGACCGCGGGGACATTCGCCATCAGGAAACTCCTCCACCTGGGGTTGTCACTGAAAACCTTGATGCTTTTGTGGAGGGCTGGAAGGAGATCATCGAAGGGAATGAGCGCATCTTAACTCTGGCAGCTCAGAGGCAGATCATGCAGCTACGAACTCATGTGGAAGGAGGATGTTTGTCAGATATTCCACCCTCTCAGGGAAGTGAAAATGTTGACGAGCTGCACAGCATTTTAAAACCTGTGTTGGAAAGAAAATTTCTGAATGCTGACATGGCACTAGCCCTTATTTCAACACTTCTGTATGTGTGGAATGAAAGGAGAGCAAATCAGCTTCCCAAAGGAGCCCTTGTGCGGCCAATCTCAAAGTACCGAGGTACTTTAGAAGTCAGTGGATTCACACCAAGTGCAGAAAGATTTGGGATTGTGAAGAGTGATGAAAATGATGGCAATGATGTCACCTCCTCTGCCAATTATTCATTTGATGTTCTTGCTCTGCAGTGCCTGATACTGGATGCCTTTGGTGGAAACAAAGAGCCAGAGATAGAGCAAAAAGGCACTGACAATGGCTTAACCCAGAGTGTCCTTAAGAAAGTAATTGCTAAAGCCTCAAATTTATTTTCAGTGTGGGAGATCCTCAAGACACAGGCTGTACATGATGTATCACTCAACCCCCGACTTATGCACCTGATGGCTTGTTCTTTGATCCTTTTCAGTCGCAATGAATGTGCAATCGATGACCGAGCTAACCATGAAGTACGTCTCAATGAAACACTGCGATATTATCAGTTGATGGTCTTCTCAGAAAAGAAGGACACACCGGAGGCAGATGGATTTTTTACAGCAGTCAGTTCAGGTCTTAACTCTATACTAAGAAGTGATTTGCCAGAAACTGAATCAGTTAAGCAACATCTTGCTTCCATTGGATACAATACTCACGAAGGCAGCAGTCTGGAGGAGAACGTCTTGGTTCTGCGACAGTTGATTAGTGATGAGTGGCTTACATGTGAAGAAGAGTATAGTAAATTACTGGTGTCGCACATGATCAGCTTTGCTGAAGAAGCCCAAGCCTTCAGAGAAAGAGGATACTTCAAAGGTATAAAATCTTTACTTGCAGTTACACGTTTAAAGTAATGTAAAACAGTCAGTTCAATTTTAGTATCTGAGCAACTGAGCATACACCTACCCCTCTCCTAGTCAACTGTTTGGTAAGGGGAGGGGGGGAGGGGTAGGTGTGCAATTGCTCAGTTACTTACATTGATGCATTTAGTCAAACCTATAAGTGGCACCCTTGGAAATAGCAAGTGACTGGTTACGTGTTATAGACCTCTGAAACAATTGAAATGCATGTCCTTAACAAAATTCCAACTAATGAATACAGTGTTTAGGTGACAAATGCTGTAAGGTGTTTTAAGTAAGGTTAAACATTTCTTTCTGTTAATAAAGCAAACAGACATTTGCAGAGAGTTTACTGCATCTAATCTTATTTTCAATCCATTTTAGCTGAGATGTCCAATCTTCTGCCAATTGCTGCAGCAAAGGTTTTAAAAGTGCCAGTCATAGTGTTCACTTCCCTGCAGCAGTTTCCAATTGTGCCAGTGGTACCATCAGATGCTATCATTATTGGTTCCTGTGTGCATGTTGCTTACAATGCAGCTGGTTTTGGAGGGTTTTATGATGTTGGCACTTATGTCAGCAACTCCATTGTGCTACCAAAGCTGATGACTGATCCTTTGGAGAGGCGCAGAGATAGCAGGAAGCGTTACAGGGAGAAGATGGCATTGATGAAAATTAATCAGCCTGCAAGAAAGAAAGGAAAGAAGCCAAAAACACCAAGTTCACAGAATGACAACCAGAAAGAAAATGAAACACCAGCAGATCCAAATGATTCTGTTGCTTCACAACAAAGTGAGGATTTGAACGGCTCTGCAGTTGATGGTTTGGAACATGAGACCTCCGTGAATGCGGCAGTTCAAAACACAGGTGGGGAGACTTCACTGGATACATCGGAGATGGAGAATGCTACAGATGAAGGAGTAGAAGCTGCTGCAAACCTCATTGAAATGGCATACAGTGAGGCAGGGGTCAGTGAGGAAACCATGGAAGAGGCTATTGCAGACAGTGTTATTAAAGATGACATCTTACCAGCAATGGAATCAGCTGCTAATGAAGACCAGGCAGTTCCATTGCAGACAGCAGACCCTCAAGAAGACCAGACTGTCATGGATGATGGTGAAACAACAACTGAAGTGATATCTGAGAAAGATCCTGTCAAAGAAAGTGTCTCTGAAGTTGTTACTGAAGATGCAGCTACTGAAGCTGTAGCAGAGGATGCAGTCAGTCCATCAGTTAATGGTGAAACCCAACCAGACCGTGTAGAAGGAGGAACACCTGCACAAGAGGCAGCTGTTAATGCTTCTAACAAGTCTGAAATCATGATTACACCCACGTCTAGCAGCAAGGCCTCTGTTCAGGGCACAGAAATGGTTTTGACTATCCAAGAGGGTGTGAACATCCAGAAACAGACCTACTCCTGTAGCTGCGGCAGAGGAAGTGGAAAGAATGTGAAACGCACTCAGTTCTGCTTGACTCTGGAAGGTGGTTATCTGACACGCTGTGCCTGCTATAGGAATGCATCTGGTTGTTCTCACAGGTGTCGTTGCTACCTTTGCTGCAATCCATATGGCACTGCTGAGGCTGCAAGGGCTACCAAGCCACCTCGCCAGGTCCGGCGTTTCCGGCCAAGACACAAAGTACAGGTGATTAAGAGTCGCTTTCCAAGTCTTACATTTGCCAGCACTATCCCTAAAACTGAGGGTATCCAACCTGGATCCAAGTGGTTAGAGGTTGACTGCATGGCATTTGAGTGCCTCATTGCAGCTATGAGTCATGCTGGATTGGAACTGACTCCAGAGAAAATTGCTCTAGAGTTTGAGAGGCTTTGTAACATGTCTAAAGATGATGGAGGGATCTTAGGGAATGCTATACAGTCAAAAACAATCGTTGACATAACTCAGCAGCTAGAGGTTGTACAGAGGAATATCCGCACATTTGAAAACTTGTACAAAAAACAAACTGAACTGAACTGGTTTCAAGGGATGGAAGTGGTGTTCTCAACAGAAGTGGTTGTGTCTTCATAGCTCAAAGAAAAGCTGAAACAGCAGCAGCACGTCATTTTAAGATGAGAAAGGATGGGTTAAATATTAGTGATAGACTGAGAAAGCTTATAAGGATAGTACATGTCCATTTTGCAGGGGGTATCCTAGCAGAATACTACATAGGAGTACTTAGCTGTTTGCCTTTCGCATGGTTAGTTGGGAGGGTAAGTGTTCAGGGCTCAGGTCTTAGGGTAAAGAATCCTATACTAACTTTTGCTGGACACCTAACCCCTGCCCCCTTGTTTTCACCAAAGGATGTTTAATCATCTGATTTACACTGCATATTACCAAATAGTATTCAAATTGCTGCTATATTTTAGTAACTTTAAGTCTGGTAGATGCAACAACTTAGAGAGGTACCACTGACAAGGTCATAAAAATGCTCAAAAAATCACTCAGTTGAAACTACACTATCTCCAACTGTATTCAATTTACCTTTACATAATTATTCTGTCACAACTATTACAAATATTATTGCAGTTTCTAAGTAACAGATTGGTTTACAACAGTTGCTGAATGTTAACGACAAGTTCAGCTTAATTTATTTCATAAGAGCTTGATATTGTTGAGCACAAGAAAAATTTCATGAATTTAATGATGTGTAGCTTCAAGGTTGCAGTCAGTTTAGCAATGGTGTGTGCAAGAGGAATATACACATTATATATGTGCATTCTATTGGTCAGAAACTGTTTTGATATCACTCTTTATGGATATTTTCAAGTTTAAGAAGATACTGAAACAACATTTGTAATTAGCCTTTTTTAGTAACTTTTGCCTCAAAACAACTTCACTTTTCAAATCCGACTTTTAAGGGCTTGGCACTCTTGAATTCCAAGACAAAAGCCTCCAGGCACTCAGTGATACTTGTATTATAACAGCTGTAGACAATTCATGTAAGTCAAGCACTGAATTATGAAAGTTAATCAAAGTGATTAATTAATTACTAAAGTGGGTACCAAATGGGTGATTGTTAAATCTCCTAAATTGACATGAAATTGCACCTATTTTTAAAAGGTGTTGCATGTTTGATATGAGCACGTCAGTTTTAAGATTCACCTAATTACAAATTTGACTTTGTATGTGCTTTTCTTGTTTTCAATGATGATTATTTACTGCACATCACAATCCATAGGAAAAACTTCTTTAACCCTTTAACTACTAAATGTGACCAAGACAGAATTTCTCCTAACAATATCAGTACAAAATCAAGCAGACAAGTGATGAGAAGAAAAAAATATCAATCTGCGGATTATTTAGTTAATCCAATACCAAATTCTCAAAACTAACATCAAGAATTTTAAGGCAGACACTAAGGAGAACTACTTATAAGATCTTGAGAATGAAAGGGTTAAGGAGAACAGTTTTGTCAGTTGGTTGTGAAGATGCTTTTTAAAGAGATTTCTGGTAGCTTTAAATAGCAATAATGTTTCTCCTCAACAATGTTACTGTAGCATGATGATTTAAGTAAAGCAAAAACTTGCATGCTTGGGTGAAGTGGTCATATTGTGTTGTAGTTTTCAATATTACTCTTTTCTACTTAGAATGACTACTCATTCTAGTTTACATGTAGTTTTAAGAGTTTGGTTGACATTAAGGTATTATTAAATAAAATGAAAAAGAAAATCTCTTCAAGCATTCGAAATTATATTACTTCATTCCCTTTTACTCTGTTTTTTTCTAACTGATTTTCAGGATTGTAAAAATGATTTTATGTTCCTATTTCACAAAGTTAAACAATACAATATACTACAACCATGTCTTCCCACTTCTGGGTTATATTGTCCATGAATGTCATAACATCTCCTGTCACTCTATCTTGCAATCCCCTCCTTATGTACCATGTACTTTCTGCTGGAATTTTCATAGGGTGACAACTGAGAAATCTGCTCACTGCCAGAAAAGAATACTTGCAGCCATAGCTAAGCAACAAACAGCTACGTATGGACTTTTTCTTTCACCTTTTGGAAAAATAACAAAAGATCAATTTAACGGTCATTAGCAATTAAAACCCAATCAACAACCTCTAACTTCACAAGTTTAAGAAAGTGAACAAAGTTTTCAATTGGCTTGAACTGTTACCAGAAGTGTACAATACTCAGTGCACAATTGTAGTCAATATCATGATGTATAATTCATGGTTTACATTCTTTTGGATTCCTTAACTCTTTTAGTTCATACATTAGCATTTATATGTTCCATACTGTTCTCTATACATTTCCTAGAGTCCTGACAAGGAGAATATGCTGCTAAAGTTTGCCTTTGAAGTAATTATCATTAGGAGGGTTGTTATTTCTGACTGAGATTATTAAGTTGTAGCTGCTTATTATAACCCTTCCACCCCTATGAGTGACTAGCATCTAATTTCTCCTCACAATATCACCAATGAAATAAATATTTTATGTCAGGAGAATAAGGGAAATGATCACCAAGTAAAGAAGCTCTTTAACCCTTTAACTCCCAGATCAAATTTGTCATTCTCCTTACTGTCAACTATACAATTCTTGTAAAGTTAGTTCAGAGAATTTAGCATTGGATCAACTAATTATCCCCAAATCAATATTTTTCTTTATTCTCATCACTTATCTAGTTGATCTTGTATTGATATTGTAAGGAGAAATTCTATCTTGGTCACTCATGGGAGTTAAAGGGTTAATGTACAACAATTTCTCCTTGTCAGCACCTTAGGAAATGTCTACAGAACAGTATAGAGGATATGCATAGTGATGTTAGGTTGTAAAGATTTAAATTATCATCAACAAGTAAAAGTTTTCCATTTGTTGCACATTTTTGGGGGGCTAATTCTTAATGCAACATTGAAAGGCTTTCTTTCTTTAGGTTTAAACTTACCAATTCTTGCTGCTTTCCAAAAGATCCCTAATAACCTATCCAAGAGAAAAAGGAAGATTCCAGTAACTGACCAGTTCATGCAAATTGTCCCTTTCTTGAGATCCTTCAGGAATTCCAAACTGGGATGTTAAAGTTTTAACCTCCTACATAAATGTTTATCTCATAATCTACTAACCACTGTTGCTAGGAAGCGAAAGGAAGCTTGCTTCTATCACTCAATGTGTGTCATAATGCTGATAATTTACATTTGAAGCATATAGACAATTCCACTACCTCTAGGGAAATTTAAGGGATAAAATTATTTCTACAGTTCTATTTGTGTTTTAATGGACCTTGACTATGTTGTCACCATAAAAATGCAAAAACACAACTTGGTCAGCATCTCGCCAGCTTAACCTTAAGCTTGGTCAGTAGCAACTTTTCCAAAATAATAAAATAAACTGGAGGCTTCATTGGACAAAAGGTCAATTCTTTAATAACAAGAACATGATTTATTAACAAAATATGATGATTAGGAAAGACTGACCACATTTCCCTTTGTTAAAGCCAAATTTTAGAGTTGGAAAGGAATTTTTCCGTCTATCAAGAAAGAAAACAATTACCGGCCCTGTGTCTGTGAATCATCATTCGCTTGTGATAAGGACAGATGTAATTTGGCCCCCAAGCTCCAGCATTCACATACACATGTTTAAAAATGCATTGTACTTGCGCAGTTAACGTAAAAACCAAAATTTTTTGTTACAAACGCACTGATGTATCAAGGACATCTTCATTATCAAATTCACACTAAAATGAAAGGAAAGTGACATTTTAGCGTAAAATCGTGTTTCCGACAAATTCCACGTCATCACAGACACGGAGCCGCCGGCATGACACACTGGCGTCACTAATCACTCACTGTTGCTGTTTGAAACAGATAAAGGAGGCTCTAGGAGCAGCAAATTATTGCGATCGCTTACCCGTGTTTATTTTTGTCCAAAAGTGCCGGGTAAATCGATCGAATATAGGCACATGTACAAATTAGCAACAGTACAACTGTTAGGAGACTTTGGAAGTTGAAGATGGCAGACTGCGGATAAAACACAACAAATAAAACGGGAAAATGTTGTCTATGGACAATCCAAGAAAATGATCAGCTTATATTTTGGGAAATGATTTCTGCCTTACCATGTTTGTCTGCTCAAAATCCTCACTTCTTCAAGCCACAATACTGCTTTGATATTTATCTCCTCTCTTTGATTTTACTTACACGACGTACCATCTAATCAAATGCAATTCCGCTAACTTGTCCTTAATGCGAACGAGCGGGGAATGGAGACAACCGTGTGTAGCCTAAACCCAAGAAACCCTCTTTTCTCCGTTTTCAAGGATTTGACATCTATTCTGATTTAGGAAAAAGTACGCGCCGAGGCCGTGACTGTGAAGTTATTTCGAGATGTTTAACAGCTTTTGTAGTATCACGGCAAGAACTCCAAACATTGTATCTTCGGATCTACCGGGAATAATTTGCTGATTCAAGTAGTAAAAATGCTTTCTCTTCACAGTAAAAATTTTTCCTCTTAGTTTTCATGATACGTCAATCACACTTGTTAGGATATTTCTGCAGGGAAAAATTTTAATTGTTTTAATCACGCGCCATCTTGAAATGATTGTGAAATGTTTATCGTCTTCTGTAGTGTCACGGCATGAACGGCAAAAATGACATTTTGGCGTATACTGCGCCCAATAATTTGTAGTAGGAATGTTGACCTACGAAGATACTCGGAAATAAACTATAGGTGATATCGGCTCAAAATCGGGTGAAGATCGGCATTCTATTGTTGCCATCACTCACTCATTTCGATGACGTATGTGGCTTCACCTCCTATAGGAGGCAATAGCCACAAAAATAACCGTTTCACATACACTGGACTTTACCTCACTTAAAACAGAACATATTTGACCCACTTCAACATCACACAACGAGATAGTCCACAAGCATGTCAGTTTAAGAAATTTTCTCCTCGTTTTAAATACACTCTCGCAATGCAAGACACAAAACCTTTCGCAGCGTTTATTCACTTCATACAAATTTAACTTTTCCCCATTACAAAAATACTCTTCATATCTTTTCATTTGATTCTCTTTTCTTGTATTCTTAGTCACATCATCCCCACAAATTTTCTTTTAGATCTAAAACCGCCGGAGATAGGGCAGCTGTTTTAAACTGATAACAAGGAAATGGACGATAAAAGAATTCGTTTATTTAGGCTCTCTTCTTTCTTTCTTTCCAATTTTTGTGCTCCAAAGAGAGGCTAAGGTGGACCTATACTGAGTAGTTTAATGTCAAACAGTAAAGGCAGATGAAAAGGGAAGTGGACGGTAATAAGGTTGAAGTGGGAGGGGAGGGACGGGATCGTTCCAACACGCTCTTGAAATGTTGTCACGCTGCTTTTCGATTAAAGAAAAAAAATTTACTTCATGATTCTTAAGCGGGTCGCAATGTTTTTTTTTTCTGTACACATACGCGCCGAATCCGCATTTATACTGCTCGGGAGCTGAAGGAAATTATTATTACTACCCCACAGACTGCTGGATCCATTAAACCAGATGTAATGTGTTCCACCCAAACTTGATGAGGGGTTTCACAGTGAGAGCTTATTATTTAACTCCTCTTCTGTTCTTTTTTGGTGTTCTCAATGTCGTTGATCATGCTTGCGATCTCACGCGCTAGGCTCCTGGTTTTGCTAAGTTCGGTTTCGCCTTCACCGGGCCTCAAGATCATCTCTCTTCGATGCACTGGTGCAAGTGCGGGAAGATTCAATGGGATTCCTTCCATCATGGCGACCTGCTGAAGATTGTGTGACTCCGCCATAATCCGTCCAGCTTCCTGCATAATCCTAGACCGGCGCATGGCTCGCGCCTCATCAATCCGCGCCTGTCTGGCTGCAGCTACTTGATGGTTGGCTTCGGAGAATAGCTTGCGCACCTTGGCCTGCTCTTTGAAGCTCATGGTGTCATAACCTGCAAAGTGCAAAGAACTAGTCAATATGTCAAACGGCTATGAAAAGATGGCACAGCCTGAAAGCGTGAAGGGGTGTCTGTACCTTGACCTTTAACTTTTAGGTACGTTTGAGAAACCTGATGTTGAATTAGAAGGGAAATGCTGTGAATTTTCTGAGTTTAGAGTGCAGGGAACCCCTAAAGTGATTGAAGTGCTCCGTTTTGCATCGCCTCTTAATCATAAAAGTCCTCGGCAAAGAAATCATACCACCATCACTGAGTGATCAAAGAAAGGGAGACCTTAGTTTCGTTGACGCTGTGTAAAACACACGAAGTGCTACTCTCTTTACAAACCTTTGACAAGCGGTCCACAGTCGCACTGGGGACAAGATCCGGGATTCTTAACAATCGTACACAGGGAGGGGCACTCTGACAAAATGTTTGGGCACCCTGCAAAGGGACAGCACAGGGAAATATTACTTACCGTGACTGTGCATTCACTCCATAGAAAAGAAAACCTTCACTGAATTAAACAGGTGATCCCTCTTTTTATCCTAGATAAACCTTACAGTTTCTGTAACAGTCGTGCTTCTACTGTTATTAGAACATTTACATTGTATGATTGAAAAACTAGAAGCCCCCTACGACCAAGCTGTCAAAGCTAGCGCGTTTACATTACAATAGAGCGCTGTTTATTTTGTGTCGTATAGCCAAACCAGAGCACTCGCAACCAATCAGAACCAAGGAAAATATCACGACGGGCCTATGAGAACTCAAAGAAAAATATCACCAAACTGCCTGCCTGAAGCGCGGGAAATTTGAAGTGATCAACTCGTGATTGGTTTAACTTTTGAATCTGATTGGTCCAGGAAATGGCGCAGTTTTTCTAGACCAATCACAGAGCAAGGTAAACCAAAACTAGAGCAATTCCGGATCACTTTCGGCCTCCAATTGAAAATTGCCTTAATGGGATATTACGGTAACAAATATATCTGCACTATTAAGGTTAATACATCTCTCTTACGACGACGTTGGTTAATGTAATCATTTTATTTGCATTCTCTTCCTCTATTAGATTAAGGTTATTATCATTCTGTTATTATTTTAAAATTGTAATTAAAAGTTTATTGTCATAGATCTTCGCTGGAATCACTCACTTTAGGCTCACATGCAATTATCCCTACTGTTATTATTATTTGTAATTCCTTATATTCCTTATCGTAGATTTCCGGTGCGCAAAAAGTTCGGATCATGTCAGTACCTGAACAACTGCACATCTACCCCTCCCCTAATCCAACATGAACCCTAACCCAACATGAACCCTAACTTGTGATCAGTTGATGTTGTTGGGTTAGGGGAGGAGTGGTAGGTGCACAGTTGCTCAGATACTGATACCGATCCAAAAATTCGAGGTCATTTTGTATGTTTGAAAATACCGGAAGTTATTAAGCTATAGATGCAGGCTTTGTAAAGAGTTTGGTTTGTGGTTAATGTTTGCTCAAGATTATTAAAAAGTTTCTCCAGTTCGTGATTCGTTACCAATATCACACATTTCTAATTTTCGCCTTTCTACAATGTCCCATGAACAATAAATATTCTGCCTAATATATAACGACAGATTAATGAACAATCGAGAACATCGTTATCAAAGTCTATAGACACACAGCAGTCTTCGATGAAAAAAAAAACAAAATTTTGCCGAAGTCACTTAGGGAAAGTCTAGCTTTTTTATCGATATATTCAACGTGAGCACCAGCTGGTGCTTGTAATCGGTTTGTATTTAGTTTGTTTCCATTTACTGCTCCTTACCACTCTTGGCTGTTGAAGAATTGTTCACTCCCTTCGGTTGATCAGTAACCTTTGTTCGATCTGTTAAAATGAGGAATAATATTGTATTAGACCAATTGGTTTGAAATGACAGCAGAATAAGCATCTGACTGGCTGACTGACCTACAGACCGACCAACCCGCTGATTGACTGATTGACTTTCCAAGAAAAAGACTCTTTGAATTACAGGTTTACTGAATAGCTAGCTGACTAACTGACGGACTGACTGGCTGACCGACCGACCGACCGACCGACTGGTCAAACGACTGCCAACCCATCGACTGACGGACTGACTGACTGAGTCTATGATTGATTAACCCAACAACCGACCAACCGAATGACTGGCTAACTGACTGACTGACAAACTTAAAGACTAATCGACCGCCGACTGACTGACCGATCAGTCGACCAACTAATTAGCTGGATGAGTAACTGACCGACCGACTGCCCAACCAACTGAATGGCAGACTGACCGACCAATTGACGAGCTGGCTCTCTGATTAACATACTCACTAACTGACTCAATAACATACTAAGTGACGCACATATCTGATTCACTCACGTCTTTTGCAGATGAACCCGAGTGGTTTATAACAGTTGTCATCATCCCATCTTCCCCAATCATACCGCTGATACATTATACCACACTGTTCGTCTTTGCCGTCGTAGTGTTGGCCTTCCTTCCAATTTTGGTATCTACAAACGGAAGAAAAGTTCAAGGCCCAATTACAATTCTCCTGTTTGAGTTCCATAGAGAAAAAAGGAAACGCAGTCACTTAAAAAAACTCACTAACAACTAAGATCAAATTACTTTTAGAGCAATTTTCAATTCAGTGTGGAAGGTAATTCGAGATTGCATTGGTTTGCTTTGCCTCACTCTGTGATTGGTCCAGAAAAATTGCGTCACCCTCTCAACCAATTAAATGCAAAACTTAAACCAATCATGACTTGGTCGCCCGCGTTTTCCTGCGCTTTAGGCAGTTTAGTTGTTTTTACTTTGAGTTTTTATTGGCTCTGAAAGATATTTCCTTTCCTCTGATTGGCTGTTCCGATTACTTTGGTTTTGATTTTACGACACACACTCGAAAAGCGCTCTAATCAACATCTGTGAAACTTAAAGAGCAGCAGATACCTGTATCTAGAGCCGTCAATCCAGGACCACATTCGTACTTTCTCTTTGTAAGACATTCCAATCCACAGTTTGTTTACATCTGACGACTTGCGCAGCTGTTTTGTGATAAACTCGTTTTCTTCTTTTGTGTGAACACTCAGCAGTTCAGAATTGCAAAGCTAAAAAAATTTCAATAACAAAGAATTGTTGACATCGTTTTTCATATTGATGTCATTTCGAGAGAACCACCCATTTTATATATGAACTTTGTTCAAATAAGTGGACGAGGCCTGGAAATTTGGGAAATTTTTTATTGCTACATTAAAAAGCCTGAGGCCATAATGGTCTACATCCTTCGCCTGCTCCAGGGGTTCAATTGTTTAGACGGAGTGCAATGGTAAAACGCTTGATGGCAGCCATGGAGTGAGAAAAACGAAGGAGGTTTGAGTCGGGTTGAGCAACGCGACCCGACCCAAGCCTCCCTTGTTTCAGGCCGGCCGCTAACATTACGCTGCTAACTCTTTGCTCCGTTTTACTGAACACCTGGAGCAGGCTCCCACAAGCTAAATTGTGTTTACCTTGCAGGCTCTAACAGAGTCAAACCAACTTTTTGTTTCATCTGTAGCGATCTGGTATTCAAACTTGCCTTCTCCATCCATTGGGATAAAATTATCGCATTTCGCATAAATGACCTCTATGAAGAATAAGCAAAAACAGAATATGGTGACGGTGATGGGGGTAAAAACGGTGTTGATTTCATTTCCCACCCACTCCTCCCTTCCACTTACCTCCTCGTGTGATCTTCACTCTTGCAACATCTCCTGCGTCATCTGGCCTCAAAGCTAGTGTAAACTCCCCGTTTAGCTTCAATGGTTCATCATTCTTAACATCCACAGCTCTCAGGACAATTCTCTTGTACTCATCCCCAGGCTCCAGGCGGGCGTACTCTACTTGAGATTCATCCACATCCAGTGTGGTGGCCGGGAGGATCTGGTCCGGAGTGACTCTGACATGGCCACCGGCGTGATTTATGAGCTTCACGTAGAACCATCTATTACCAGCCCCTGAGAGGAGCGAACATTGTGCATAAACGATAAACTAGGCGCTGAATGTAGAGCAGATCGCTACTAAGTGTTGAAATTAATTCGGGATTGCTTTGGTTTTGCTTTACATCGCTCCGTCATTAGAACAATTTTCACTGCAATTGAGTGTCGAAAGTAACTCGGGATATTTTTTATTTAACTTTACTTTGCTCTGCGGTTGGTCCAGAAATTTCGTCACACCTCCCTAACCAATCAGATTCAATATTGAAACCAATCGCTATTTGGTCATACGCGTTTGCCGTTTTCCCGCGCTGACAGTTTGCGAGTTCTTATTGGCTAATAGTTACGTTGACATTTGTTCTGATTGGTTCTCGTGATAACTTGAAACGTAAAAAGTGAAAACTGCTCTAATGAATAGCGATAACTAGATTTTCCTTGTCTATTGTATTTCACAGCTACAAGGCATAAAACAAAATAATATACAGAGGCGGATGATGCTTTTCGCGCTTTTTGTCTGAGTGAAATGGACACTTTTTCTACATTTCCTACATTTGCCTGAAAATGTTACTAGAAAACCAAAGAAACCACAATCTGTGCAATCAATTTTCTCTAGCATTCTAGTAACACTTAAGCAAAGGTTATGAAAAAAAAACATGATCTCAGTTACTTCTTTACAAGCTTTAACCAGTCTAAACATCTCTTTGAAGTCAATACATGATACTTAAAACTGATTTCACACTGACTAAGGATAGGGAGCCATTCATTGTACAGTAAGACAAGCGTTCAGTTTGTTGTGTGTTCAGTTCTGTCAACTGTGGCAAGGTTTTTGTGTGTCAGTTGGATAGAGATTTCAGTGATAACAAAATGAAGCACTTGCCTAGACTCTTGACAATGTGGCCGTGTCTTCCATGCAGGATACCACTCCTTGAGTCTACAGTCATAGAAAATACGTACAGCGGAGTCAAAACAAAGTTAAGTTATCAATAAAAGTCTAAGCTACAATAGACCCTTATCACGAGGGAACCATCATGAGTCCTTCCGCCTGCTCCTGTTTTGCATGCACTTTTAACTCGTCACTGTGATTCCAAACATGAAAGAACAAAACTTTTTAGCCCTGGGAACTAAATGAACCTGCATGATGAAATTCTTCATTTCATTACGATGCTAGGTTCTTTTTTGCCGGATGATAAAATGTTATAAACAGTAGGAAAAACATCGATACGTGAAAGGAGTTCAAGGAAAATATAAATTCCTGTTACGGAAGAAGTTCCACCTTATTCAAGCCTTGCATGCAACACACGTATCATATCACAATACCTCGCGGGAAGGTTGCGCAGTGTCACTCGAAAATGAATTTCATTTTGTCACTCCACTCACCTTCGCGTGACACGTAGGCCTCTTGTGTGTCATCATAAGTAGTTGGCGTGACGTAGAACTTTTGGTCTCCGTTGATGATCAGCGGTTTATCTGTATACTCGTCGACAGCCTTCAGAGTGATCGTAGCCTTTCGGTCAGTCTGGTTCAAGAGCTGATGGTAGACGAAGATTTCTCCGCTGCTGAGTACGGCGCTCGGTAGGATCTTGTTGGCCTTTATTTTGACACGTGTGCCTACTTGATTTACAACTTTCACGTTTAACCATTTCCTCGCTTCTAAAAGAGTATCAAGAATATAAATAAATTTTCAATCTCCTGCGACGGCTTTTTTTCTTGCATTTCCAAACTATGCTTAGGGTTTTCTTTATTAAAAGTTTTACTTTCTCTAGCTCTTCTTTCTCACATGGTAAGCGTCTTCGAGCTTCAAATCGCATTAGCAACAAAAAATTTCAAAACTTTAAAAAACTTGATCATCTATTATGGCAGTTTTACTCTTTTAAATCTTTTTTTTTCTTCACAAAAAAACCTCCTCGAGGTTCAAATCTCAGCCAGAGAAACGAAAAAACCACTAAAAAACTTTCTCGTGTGTCATTAAATAAAAATGTAACTCTTACTTTTACTGCTCTTCTTCTGATCATGGTGACGTTGTCGATGATGATGACGATCATGATGAGGATGATGATGTCGGTGGTGGTGTTTATCTCGGGATTCTTTCACAAACACTTTACTCACGGGGCCTGGGGCAAAGTCACGCCTTGCTAATTCACCAGTTGAAGTGTCAGCGGATTCTGGCTGATTCATACTATCGAGATACTTCTTGTAGACACCTTGAAAGTTCTTGGAGTGTATGAGACCTAGAAAAAAAATACTACATATTTCGCTACCTTCATGCATTCGATGGGAGTTTAACCCTGTAACTCTTACTCGCTGATCTTTATTTTCTTTAAGATTCACTCAGGGACCAGTCATCCTTTAGTGATCACGAGAAGGGGGAGGGTGGGGTCGTAAGAGTTTTGTTTTGTAATGGTAAAATTTACCTGATCCGACCCCTCTAGGACTCTGTAGTATTCTTATGATTCCCCCTCATTGGCTGCCAATTATCTATAGTACCCCCTTATACTCTGTTGGTGACGACTGAGCCCCATCCTTACCCCTGAAAACCATGTGATCTCCCCAAAATCCTCTGACCCTCCCCTCCGAGGCGATGAAGGATGAACTGCCTCTTATACTGAAACAAATTAAATCTCAATCGTTCTCAGACGCTATGTCACTTACAAATTAGCCCAACTGGCGAGTAAATGTTTACAAAAAAGAGGAGCACAAATAGACTGTAAACTTTTACTACGCACCTAAGATTCGGTCGAACCATGGCCCCGGGGAGGGTGCAGTTGAGCGTCCATTGGAGTCACTGTCTGAGGCGTCATCTGAGTTATCATCGTCATTATCTATTAAGGACAGAATGGAAATGATCATTCTATTCATGAGAACCTAAAGCTCATAGTCTATTTTTTTATTTCAAATAAAGCTCCATGATGTGGTCTTATTCAGGGAAGTTTAAGCAGGAATTTCGTGGTTTCATGACGTGAATTTTTGTCAGTTACTTCAAAAGAACACATTTAGCGAAGAAATAAAAAAAATTGGCCGAACTTAAGTCAGTTGCTCTTCACTCTGATTATGAGGAAATGTCTAGAAGCTGTGTTTTTTTAAACTGCGGCTTTTAATGTTCATCAGCTCACCACGACAGAAACAATAAAAGGGTTCTTTAGCTCAACTATGAGATTTTTTAAAATTTGTTTTTGAAGATAAAAAGCTCAATCGGAAATGAAAATTGAGGATCTTGAAATGGAGCAATTTTCAACTGAATGTCAAAAGTAATCTGGGATTGCGTTGGTTTTGCTTTACTCCGCTCTATGATTGGTTCAGAAAACTCGCGTTACTCCCTCAACCGATCAGATGTAAAATTAAAACCAATGACGACCTAGTCACGCGCATTTTCCCGCGCTTTACGCGGTTTGCTTGTTTCTTTTTTGGTTCTTATTGGTTCTCTAGGTATTCTCTCTTTCCTGATGGGCCGTTCCGAAACTTTGGTTTTTGTTTTACGAAAATCATTTGAAACGCGCTCAAATTGCTGAAGTTAACAAAACTAAATACACATGACTTAGATTGAAAACAAAATGTTGAATTGTAGAATAATAGCAAATAAGTCGTTTTCCGCAGAGTAGACACTTTCAGTATTATTTGTCATTACAATCATATTAATGAATAAAAATTACAGACGAAGAAAGTTAAAACAGGTTTGAGTCCAACCATTTAACAGGTGACAATCATTAAGTCGGCCATGCAAAGAAAAAGTCCAAAATCTGTCTTTTATGTTTCTCCACAATAGGAAAAAAATCATTGACACATAACCGATGATAAAAATGAGGGATTTCGATCAATGTATTTAGTAAACGTTTGGTGTGATGAATGATATTTGATGGATGTAAAAGATATTTCGCTCGGACGAGTTAAAGACCATCCTTTGTCTACTTCTCAACTGGGGACTTTCAAGTCAAGTCATAGAGGTGGTTCCCGTATCAAAGAAAGTCGTGATAGTAACTTAATTATAGTCAAATTAAGTATTTACCTGCAAGCACCGAAACAATAGCTACTAAGCCTAATAAACAGCAGCCGAAAACATATCTTCTCATCTTCATGTTCCAAAACGCGCTTGTGGAGAAGTGCGTCGAACAAACACGTCCCTCATGAAAAAGCCGAAATTTTTTCCACTTGAGATTTGCAAATATTACATCAGAAGACAGGGGCGTAGCGAGGTCAATCCACCAGCGACGAAACCCGGCTGAAACTTCAAGTTGCTTGACTGCCTTGTCAAAGCGCCACCAATGAAGGAAAGGTACGCTGTTGTCACGCCCTTCGGCCGACAGGGCGTTTCTCATTAGGTGGTAAACGTGTTTTAAAATGTTCCCGATGACGAGATCGAGAGTAGAAAGTTAATTTTTTTTTAAGTGGAGCACTCGAAAATACTGGCATTTCAGAAAGAACGATTGATCGTAGGCTGTGTAAAACATTTCATCGTGTTTATTAGCTTGTTTCTAAGCCACATTCTATTGAGACAAAGTCAATAAGTGCAAGTTTGTCGGATCACTGAGCACGTAATTGTTGTCAGACAAGCCTGAATATTAAGAGGGCCTGTAGCAGGTCAAGCCCACCAAGTGCAGTGTCCCAGAACCAAAGATGACCTTTGGTATGACAGATCTAATACAAGTGTCGAACGATTCATTGGATTAACTTAACGTTTTTTTCTTCCATCATGTGATTTCTTAAGAATCACATGATAGAAAAAAAGTTATGTTATTCCGATGATTTCTTGAAAATCACACGACGCCGGCATGTCCATCAACTAATATAGGACTTGGTTGATGTAACAATCGACCAGAGTAGAACACGACAGACTGGAAGTCTTGGATTTGAACTATTCAGTCCAAATAACAATCAGGAGGAAAAATCTTTTCTTTTTTTAATTCAAATTTCAAAATAAGGTCAAAACATTGTTTGAAGGGACGGGGTATAACTTCAAGATTTTGAAGTTGTTTAATTTTTTGTCAGGGTAAGTGGTGATACGATGAGCAAAATCAAATCGATGAACAACCTCATTAGCAATGAACAGATGTATCTTTTGGAATCAAGTTGTGATAAACCTAAGGTAGAAAGCAATTAACTTCAGCTTACAAAGCAGAAAATCTGGTCCTGTTTGATTTATCTCGTTTCCAGCGATAAGTACCATTGCCTTGACCCCCACCCCGCCAACCCAGTTTTGCTTTAACCCCACCTCTCCGCCCTAGTATTGCTTTAACCCCAACCCCCCCTCTGCATTACTTAAAACCCTACCCCCTCCACCCTAGATGAGATGTCAGTCCGTGATCCATTATACTCGGGAGACAATCTTGTGGTACCATTGCAAGGTTACACCCCCACCCCCACCCCCACCCCTACTCTCAGCATTTCGACAGAATTCCCTGTAATACTCCTGAGTGTAAAGAGGCAAAACTCGTGACGGAGTTGATGGTTTTTCCTGAGAACACACAAAACAATATCACGGCCAGAACTTGAACCCAGTCCTTTCAAACCGAGTCAGTGCATTAACCACTGAACGACTACTCTATCAAGAAGAAAAGAACTATACTTTGCCAAAATCACCTGAAATCGCCTGGCAAGTCTTAAAAGGAAAGTGTTATGATGGGAGACAAAATATGATTCGTAATCTGATCGCATACGACAAAACCTTTAATGAATTTGAAACACTTGAACTGAGCACAAATAAAAGCCTATTGTCTGGATTCTTGCTGTACTGTTTCTTGTCCAAATGTCTTGGTTCGAAAAACAAATGACACAGCATCACCAGCTTTCTTTACCGCGTCGTCCTTCAAGAGAACAAGACACGTTAGAATTCTTAATGATAAAGGCTGCAACAGTGCAGCGAAAACAATCATTTTAAAAGCAGTTAAGACTTCAAAACACTTCACCGCGTTAGTGTTAGAACCGAAATCAACTTTTTGGTACGACTCAAAACCTTACCAAGTCCATACATCGCCCAGCAATATTCAGCATATCATATAATTCCACGTGAAACACATGATGAACTCAGAGAATGCGGCAGCATTTTCCATGAAACACTTGCGAAAGTCCGTCCGCGCTTAGCTCACCACGGAGAACGGTAGATTATTCAAGCGTTTCTCGGCAATTAGATAGCTTTGTTTATTATTTACCTCGCATAAAGTACACAGGGGCTTATGTTCCCGGCGGTAAAGTTTTCACTCCTAAATGGAAACGCTAATATGAACAGCTTTTGCAAGAGAGCAGTGAACGCGACCTTGTAAAAAACGAGCGGTCATTCTTAGATGTGATTCTCTCTGTAAAAGATACATTCAAAATCTTTACCTCTAAGTGGACTGAGGCAAGAAATCTAACAGAAAAACCGGGCACAAGCAAATCTCTGTCCTACCTCAAAGTCTGAACAAGGATCACTCGGACACGGATAGTGCTGCCAATCCATAAGCTCAGCTATTGAGAGATTTTTCTGAAAAAGAGATATTTAAGAGTCCTAAATGTGATTCGTGACAGACGTTATCGACACTAGATTGTCATATAACGTTTCAATCATGCAAAAAGCTACTTTTCTGGCTTTTCTTGAAAGAATTTATGTGGCGTTCACGATATGATTGTATGTCCTTTACTACTAAGGAGAATATCATACTTGATTATTATTGATGTCAATTCCTAATTGGCACGGTCTCGTGACTGGTATACTTGACTGTTGATTGGCTGTTGATTCTGATTGACATTCCTCGTCACTTCCATCCTAGAAAAAGCCAACAAATCACAAGAGAGATGGAGAGAGTCGATGACAGAGCAGTGATTCCACCTCAAATCGTGATCATCAACCCGAGAGATTACATATCAATCAATCTCGAAAAATTTAATGTTACCTCGGTTGTCAGGCATGTGCATTGTAGTAGATCGTGCGTTAAACATAACGTGTTCTCGTGGAGAGTAAACAAGTCCTGTGTAATGAAGAAGAAAATATTTACGGAAAAATAAACCTATTCCGTGAACCCTTTACACCCTAACATCAGTGTGCATACCATATTCTCCTTACTGTTCTCTATACATTTTCTAAGGTGCTGATAAGGAGATTTTGTTTAACAATCAAGAAATGATCGGCAACTTACCAGAGCTCTTGATTGATAAACAAACTCTCCTTTCCAGTACCATAGGAGATGTCTAGAGAACAGTATGGAGATTGTGCATACTGATGTTAAGGTGTAAAGGTTAGGAGCACGCTCTCTCTAGAGGAGAAGAAAGTTGTACCTAGAACACCTAACCATAAAATAGGAAATCGCATGATGGCGAGGGCGTTTAGTGATTTATCACCAAAAGTTATTTTTTGGGAGTTTTCGTAATTTCACGAGTCAAAGGCGAGTGCAGTTTAGAAGAATTGTTTTCCCTCAGTCGTGAGAAGGTCATATTGGGATCCTCGTTCCCGCTCTTTTCTATTACCCAAGTGAAGGCTGCGCGTTGTAATGGAGTTTTCGTTACAATAATGAAGCCTGTTGCAATAAATTCTGCATTTAAATTGTGTCAAAACCTTCCATTATATTTACCTTAAGTTCCTCTCGCGAGAATTCAATTTTGACAGACTCTTTGGCATCAGCTACAGTTCCGCTAAGACCCTGCTTGGCGGTTTGTCTCTGGTAAATCTTCTCTTCAATGGTACCCTGTGGCACTCAACAAACCAAAGTTAGATATACTGTGACAAAATTACTTGTCACTTTAACAACAAGCTAAGTTTCGACTGAATTGATTTAAACTTCGAATGAAAAGTTCTCCGAGGTAGATAAAAGCTACAGCAGTATTAGCCCAACAAACGGAGAGAGAAAACAAACGCATAAGCTATTTCTAAACGGTCTCACTTTAAAACGACGCCAACTGCAATATTTTTCTTGTGAAAATACATCATAATAAAAATTCATTTTGATATCAAAGGCTCCACACGTAACCTCATTTTAAAACAGAGGCTTTGGGAATCTCAGAAATGGCCTGTTATGGTATGGACGAGAAGGGGACTGGTTTGAGAGACGCGACGCATTCTGTCCCGTTCTTGTCTGGCCCCAGTCTCTTTTTGCTTTGAGCTATCCCAGATCGAGAGAAAAACTGACTAATAAGAGTCTTCAAAGAAGAGACTTGGTCACTAAGCTAATTACCGTTGTCAAAAGTCGATAAATGTGAACTGTGTTTTTCTGTCCGTCTCTCCATACCCTTGCCATCGACTGTAAAAGGTAAACCAAAACTCAGTGAGTTCAACGAGATCACTGTCTAATGAATAAAACAATCTTACTTCACAGCAAGTTATCTAATCTAAGAAAAGAGAAAAGAAATGAAGTTGAGAAAAATAGCTGTTCACATTAACCCAGGGACCTCTTGATCTGCCCTTACATGTTCATACCTGAATGTCATTGGCCGGATTCCAGTCAATATCAAACAAAATGAGCCTTGATGCACCAATCAGATTCAAGCCCACTCCGCCAGCTTTAGAACTCAATAGAAACACAACTGGAAAACAGAGAGTAAAACAAAAAAAAAAGATGATTATGCTGAGTTCACTAGATCAGTTCTTACTTTGAGAACTTTTTGTAAATAAATTAACGGTCAATTTAGCAATTGTTTTACTAAATATCCTAGTCATAGACTACAACAGTCTGTCGCGCGAGTAAAAAATATCTGTGAAAAAAATTTTCCTAAGCGTGCCGCACGGAACTTTGGGAGAGTGGTGCGCGAAACTAACCTAACCCTACTTTTCGTTTATTTTTTAATCATAAAAATAAAAATACAAACGCACTTACAAATTTTGCAGTACTTGTCATTAAACCGATCTACTAACGATTGCCGTTTGCTGGTTGGTGTCTTTCCATCCAATCGCAGAAAGTCGTAACCTCTGTCTTCACAAAGCCTCTGAAGTAAATCAAGAGTCTGTAGTAAAAGAGAGAGTGATGAAAAGATAATATTAGATTCTCCTCACTGTCTGCCATACAATTCTTATCTTAATTCGGAGAATTTGGTAAAGGATCAACTAATAATCAACTAATTGACATTTTCTTTATTCTCATTAATCTCTACCAACAGTCTGATGTATAAAAGGAATTGTCACGTGAACACTAAATCGTACCTGAGTGTAATTTGAGACAAGCACTACTCTC